AAATAGCTCAAAACATCATATATTCAAAGACATGGGTATAAAGAGCAAGAAAATTAAGTGAAAATCAGGACAAAAAATCTTAATATCATCTCACATAATGTGAGAAATTCACAAGATAATGTAGACACAATTAAGAAGCTACAAGAAATGAAATATTCATTGACATATACTAGAAAATGATGATAAAGTTATCCCAACTCAAATTTAGAGTAGTTATATGCAAGAATAATTTCTAATCTATAAGGCTGCTGTTGGAATTTATCAACTGTCAGTCAGGGTATTGACATGCCTTTCTTAAGAAAACTTAATATAAACTTGAGAGGAAAGACAAGTATTGGATTTTCTGACAACTAAATGTTGATTTACATTGTTTTAAGACTCTCAAGTTCAGTTAGAAAATAGTCAAGCTCAGGGAACAAAAGAAAGGCGATATAAAGAAATTCAGATATTATAGTGAAGAAAATACAATGTTTTCAGTAGCTGTTTCTTTTGAAATGAAAGCTCTTCCTCATTCTTCCTTCTCTAACCTGTTGCATTATGTGTCCAAGTTTTATTTGTTATTTTATATCAATAAGATAAAATCTAGGGCCTTATGTATACTAGGAAAGCACTTCAGTACTTAGCTACATGCCTGCATTTTGCGTACCTTATTTAGTCTGTAAAGTGAAGTCAGTTTGTGATAAAAGCATTGCTACATGTGAAGTACTGTAGATTCTATTAGATGTACAACTCCCAAGAGATTGAGCATTTTAGTAACATTCTTTTTAATAACATTTTTCCATAATAACAAGAAAGGACTGACTAAATTATACAGCATGTCCTTTTCACCAAATTGTCTTTTGTTATTTAAAAAGTGTATATACACAGATTTAATATCAAGCCATTTGCAACTGTCTAAAAGATCCAGATAATCCTGTAATACATATTTGCTTTAATAAAACATAAGAGTTCTTTTTTTTGAGAACGGCATTTTTCTATTGTTTTACATCACAAGATGGGCATTTATTTTACTTTTAGGAAAGTTGTATACATAATCCTGGTTTTTGAAAATAGTAAAACCCTAATTCTGATTAATTACTTGTATCTATTTTGTTTTCTACAACTAAAAATATGACTTATTTGCACATTCAAAGTTATTGAGTTTTCTTCATTTCTAAAAGTCACACAGAAATATTAGCCCCATTTAAAAGCTTATTTATATAATGAAAGCCATGAGCAATGGGTTAACCAGTAAATTTCTTAACATTGATTTCAAAGATTTTGCAATGCCATCCTCTGAAATATTTATATCATCCACTGCAATAGAGCAAAACACTAATCCAAAAATCTGTCAGGTTAAATCTCATTACCAATTACAAGTATAGAATTAGTTATAATAAATTATGCCTACTGTAAATATTTGGTCAGTAAAATTATAATCAAACAATATATTTGAGATCTCTATCAAAAATATTTATTCAAGACCTCTTTATTGACTCAAATTATAATGAAATAATGAAGTGTACCTGGCACTTCTCATTTATTTTATGAGAATACTGGCATATATTCACTGGACAAAAGTCTACACAAAATTATTTAACTACTAAACTATTCATCAAATAAATTTTTCACTCACATTAGAAACATAAACAATTATTCAATAAGCAATTGGAATAATTTGTTAAATATAAATCTTCTCAGTTCAGTACAACATGTACATTTAAAACAGGAGAGAAAATAGTAACAAGTCAATTTAGGTCTTTGAAAATAAGTGGTGCTAGCATTATTAAGAAATTTAGACCTTAAAGTTAAAAAAAGTCATCTTATTTGAAAATCAGTCATCAAGAATAAAGACATGAAGTTTTGTTAACAATCTTATTCTGTGAAACTCTTTGTGACTTAAGTTCATCTTATCTCTTTGACATTCCATAGTTCTAATAACGTGAGGAAAATATAACTGTCAACTGCCGCAAATAATTTTCCTTAGTTTTTAAATGTATAACATTTGTCAAGGTACCTCTCTAAATGTGTATGTATGTATATGTATGTATATTTTAGTATCTCATTACAAGGAACATTTTATATAACGATGAGTCATAGTTGACATGGTCTGTGATAACAAACATTGTTGAGATGGTATTTTTAAGTCACCTTGAAAAGTCCTAGCTCCTTAAGCATGCTCTGTTTTTGCTTTACTGTTTACTGAAAGGTCACTGGATGACTTTTTATATACTTTTTCTTAATATATATTTTTTATTGTAAAGGTACTATACAGAGGGATTACAGTTACATGAGCAAGGTAATGAATCTATTTCCTATTGAGCATTGTTGCACCCTCCTTAATACTTAATATATTTCTCCTACCATCCCTTTCCTCCCCACCTCCCCAACTCCTCTCCTCTCCCTCCCCCCTCCCTCCTCCTCACCCCCCCCCCCCCCGCGCAAAGCTGTAAAGTTCATTTTCAACATAGTGTTTTGTATATATCATTGTTAAAATGGGTCTTCCTGTATCCTTATTTTAGTATTTTGTTATTTCCCTCCCTCTCCTCAAATTAGAAAAAAAATGTATATACAAGATGCAGGACACTGGAATCAAATACGGTTTAGTCACATATTTGTTTATAATTCCAACTAGTATGATGTATCCTTGAAAATGACCAGCTTCTAGACAGACAAGAAATAATTTTTGGATGGATAAGTCAAACCTGAGGTTTTTCATTCTCATTTGGTTAAGCAAGTAAACATTATTACATTAAATAAAATAAAAAAGGATATTGTAGAAAAACAAATTAAAGGGTGAAATTCATTTGAAATCTGTGAATTCAGATCCCAGATTTGCAGAATAAATTTTATTACTCCCTTATCATACTAATAAGATACTTCAACTATTTGCAAAAGTAGTGGGCATTTTGTAGTTAAGTATTTTCTGACACATGGTGTATGGACTGGACATATGTCCCTACTATAATTTTCAGAAGGCTAGTAAACTTAGGTACTGTTTTTGTCATTGATTGGGATTGCATAGCCTTGTTTCCTGAACAAGTAAGCTTTGGCAGCTTAGTGACCATCAAACCATAAAGACATAAAAGATAATAATGTCTTCACTTATTGAAGACTCATTATGTGTCAGGTTCATGAATTTCCAAATGTACATTTTGTTTACCAACATCATACTAGGCATATGACTGTATTGTTTTAATAATTATCTATGTGTTCAAACAAGCCTATCAGAATTAAGACATCTTAATCTGTAAACTAGAAAGTTCATTACAAAAGATTAAATAATTTTTGCAGCTTATAAAACCATTGAAAAAAATTAAGTAAAATAAAGCACATAAATACCCCAGTAAAGTTCACCCTATGATACACAAAGAAATATTGACATATCATTGTTGACATTAGTTGACCATGAAAACAAACTGAACATGGATTCCTGAATAGAAAAATACGTTGTGGCCAAATCATTTAGCAAAACAGGATAGAGAAATGAAAGAAACAAATCCCAACTAATGACATACAATCACAAGAATGAATCAGTAATTTTAATGCTAGCAAGAGCAAGAAGATAAAATAAAATAAAATAAAATCTTGGAGATTTTATTCACATAAAGTGCAAAACAGGTCAAATTGGTCTCTGTTGTTAGAATTTAGCATGGTGGTTTCTAGAGGTGATACCATTAATTAGATATTTGCTGGATCAATTTATATTAACTTTGTTAAGCTGGGAATTGTATTTCGTAGAATCCTCTTTTTGTAATTGCTAGTTTATATTGGACACATGAGGAAATTTTCAAAGCAGTATTCATCTGTTCTTAGAAAGTCACCCCAGTTAGATATAGAGATGTCCAAACCAACTGTCACTCTGTGAATACAGTCTGCCTTTCCTCTCATTTAATTCACATTCTGCACATCTTCCTCACCGCCGTGAACAAGACACTGGAGGACCACAAACGGGCAACTCAACCACAAGTCACAAGGTGCTAGCTGCTTTGACAGAACAGCAATGTATTAATCTCTTTCTAAGCAAGTCATATACACCTTCACTTTGGTACACCAAGGATTTAGAAATGGGTTTACAGCTAACTGCAAGTGACTGATTCTTAAGAGTGTCTAAGCCAGGTTGGGTAGTGATTCTTTCTATATTTATCTATCACTTCCTTCCAGACATATCAATGATGTATAATTTCATAATTAAGTTATAATTCATGCAGTTCTTATATTGAGTCTTCCTGGTGAAATCCTCAATTGATTCCTTGCCAATTACTTTTTATATCTTAAAATATATCTTTTTAAATCTAAAAATGGTTGAATGGGGAGGTTACAATTTAACATGTCCATTTCTCTCTCATTTCTCTATATCTCCATCTGTATGTATGAAATAGATATAGATAGATGGAGATAAAGATTAGCTATATACGTATCATTATCTATTACATTTTGATTGGTCACTCTTTCCATCATTCTTCATTCCATTCCTAGTTATTCCTTCCCCCATCAGTCACACCAAGTTTCCTACTTCCTTTTTCCTGTATGTACATCAAGTATTTTTTTACTTTGTTTCATTTTTTTATTGTCAAGGTGATGTACAGAGGAGTTACAGTTACATTAGTAAGGTAATGAGAACATTTCTTGTCAACCTTGTTACTCCTTTCCTCAATTTTCTACTTTCCCTCCCCAGATCATTTCCAACATATTGTCTTGTATATATTTCTGTTACATTGATTTTCCCCTTGTCATTTGTCTCACCATTCTTACATTGACTTATTTTCTAATACATCAAGTACATCACATATTATAACTATGTTTATACATTTTTTCTTCCACTCTTCTCCCACTCTTACTAGCCTCTACCCATTCAAAGCAGATTTCAGCTTTCTGATACTGATTTTTAAACTGTCTGTTAATATTTCAAAGTACTTACACAATGAAATATCACTCCCCCATATCCGACACCTTAATCAGCCCTTGGGTATAATTACATCGGAGGTTGTGTTTGGGGTCTCAGATCTATATATGAGAAGAATACATTAGAATATTTCACGCATATGTGTGTCATCCTGGCACAAGGTGCATTATAGTCTTCTCTGTACTGTTCTAATTCTAGTATATGTACTTCCTATGCCAGCACTGCTTGCAAAATTCTAGTTATTGGATATCTTTTGTGTGGAAGTATCCAGTATTGAAAGAACTCACTGAATTCTACATTTGTAAGTATTTTTATGTTTCCAAATTTACTTTGTACTTTAGCTAAATATTTATTTGTTTATTTTTAGTTGGTTATGGGGCTTGAACTATGGGCCTTGTCGCTGTCCCTTATCTCTTCAGCTCAAGGCCAGTGCTCTATCACTTGAGCCACTTATGGTTTTCTGGTGGTTTTTTGGAGATCAGTGTGTCACAACTTTTCCTGCACGGGCTGGCTTTGAACCACAGTCCTCAGATCTCAGTATCCTAAATAGCTAGGATTGCAGGTATGAGCCACTAGCACCTGGCTAAATATTTAAACTGATCCCAGGAATGAGAAAATCATTCATTTCTTACCAAATCAAAACAAATTTAGTCTCACAATGAATGTAAACACTTACTTCTTCTTTGAGGGATATGTTTGCCATTTTACCTATCAAAGCTATGGACCATTTTTCATTAAATTTTGGATGAGAAGTTGTGTAGTGATACAAGTTTTATAAGGATCACAAACCTTTTATTTACTTTTTAAATTCGTCTTGTAATATCACTTGTAGAAGATTTCCTCCCAATTAAAAAAGATACATGACTGTATTTGTGCTTTAAAAACATCAATTACAATATCAAGCCATAATCTGAAAATAAGGACTGAGATAATCAGAGAAGAGATACACTTAATATTCCTAGGCTTTTCACTTGCCCAACTACCTAGCAGAAAAGAAATTCAAGTGTGAAGCGAAATGTGTTCTTGGAATAATAGTTGCCACAAAGTGAGAGGTGAACGAACACCTGTTCTATATGAGTTTATTAGGTTGAATGTTGGCTCTCAAAGTTATCAAAGCCCTGATATTTGTATGCTGTGAATATTGCTCTACATAGACAAATGGAATATGAACTCATATCACTTATGTGTGAGAGAGGAGTTTACAGGGAAGAGGATGTTCTGATAAATTTCCCATTTAAGTTGTGTGTGTGTGTGTGTGTGTGTGTGTGTGTGTGTGTGTGTGTGCATGTGCACATGTGTGTACACACACATGACTGCTGAAGTGGTATTTTGAAGAGATAGTTGACACCAGTCTTGTTGGGTATAGTAATCAAACGAGGGGATGATTCCTCAGTAATGGAGGTCAATCACATCGGTATGATAATATTCCTTGTAAAACACCTGGACAGTCAAACACATTTGATCTTCCCTAGTTGGCAACATCTATCCATGTTGCCACACACCAGTGACAGAAGTCGTGACATTCGGTGTTCCTCCAGTGAGAAGGAATTGCATAGTTCTTACTGGTTTCTTGGGAAACCAAGATGGAGATCGATGGCTATACTATTTTTCTCTCCACAAAATTTCATTTTATAAACTGTCACTGAAAATATAAAAATCTTAAGCGTTCTACAAATCTTTCTTAAGGACTCAGAAATGATGCTACTTCTCCAGATCTGACACAAGTAAGGATTTCTTCCCATTCTGTTCCAGTGTCAGGGACAGCACTCCTTCCTTCCTCCTGCTAAATCATCTGCAACAGTCCTGGACAGAACTCTGCCACAGGAAGGATGGGAAGCCAGGAAGTAATTTTCATATCCAAATAATGGAAAACTGTATGTTACACTTTCAGCCCTTTTATTTCTTCTCATTGTTTTTAGTTTGTCATGTGGCTGAGAAAAATCTTATTCCAGGAGGGAGAGTAGATCAACACAACATACTCTTGTATCTTCTTTGGCTTGTGTTATAATCTTATTTTCGCTGAATGGGTTCTTTGCAATTCTAGTTTTAATATGGTTTTCACTGGGGAGAAATAAGTTAAAATAAAATAGTGTGAAGTGAACCTTGCAAGGCAAATAAGTATTAATGAATGCACGTGTATAGTTGAATGAGATTCTCATGTATAAATCCTCTGTTTTATGTTAGGGTAGCTTTAAAAATTCATGAAGAAAGTGATTGTGTTTGGTTATAGTGTCTTTAAGGTGGGAAATGAGGTTTAATTAGATCACTGAGGCAGGTTGTGCATAATATAGCCTACATGATTGTGTTTGTATAAGAAAAATAAAGATATATATATATATATATATATGCACACATATATAAGTATATATTCAAAAGAAAGTTCATCTAAGGACACACAGAGAAAGTTGTCATTTAAAAGCCATAGATCAGGCTTCTTAGGAATCTAGTCTCATTAACATGTTGATCTTAAACTACTAGTGAATATATAACTACTAAGACATGATTGGAATGATATACTACATGTGATCCTCTGGTAATTATACCCAGTAAGGTTCAAATATTAATTTTAGATCATGAACCATTTCAAAGTTATTCTCTTATTACTTTAGAAAATAATACCACAAGAAACTATATACATATTCTTGGATTTTCTTTGTAACCCAGATTTCTGTCAGTGATTTCCAACCTGTAGGTATTAACTCAGTTGGCTAATTGTGTGAAACATTGACCAGCAATAGCTATATTTTAATTATTGTAAGTACCAACATTCTCGGCTTCCAAACATAAACAGACAATACTCTATTATGTTCTAGAAATAATGTAATATTATATTTTGTGCATTTGAAAATGCACTGTAGTTCTTTGCCATTGACTGATAAATTCTAAAGAGATAGGCATCATGAAGGATTCTCTGTGTTTTCATATTACAAAAAATCATAAAGTAAAGCCATGAGCCCGTGGCTCAAGCCTGTAATCCTAGCTACTCAGGGGGCTGAGATCTGAGGATCTCTGTTCAAAGCCAGCCTGGGCAGGAAAGTCCACATGATTCTTATCTCCAATAAACCACTCAGAAAACCTGAAGTGGTGCTGTAGCTCAAGTGGTAGATTGCTGCCTTGGGCTGAAGAGCTGAGGGACAGCGCCCAGGCCCAGAGTTCAGCCCCACGACCGACCCCCCCCAAAAAAAATAATGAAGTAATACCAGGTTTACTGAATCTTCACAAGGCTATCCTATCAATATCTTGTTAGGCTGGAAACTTCTCTTTTTTTATTGTGAAATACCAAAGAGAGGGGTTACAATTACATGGGCAAGAGTACATTTCTTATCAAGCATTGTTGCCTCCTCCTTTGTTTCCCCTTCCCATCCCCGCCACCACCGCCAAAGTTGTAAAGTTCGTTTTTTGACATAACATATTGTACATCTCATTGTTGCAATGAGTCCACCTGTATCCCTATTTAAATGATTTGTTTTTTTCCCCTTCCCTCCAAATTATACCAACATCAAATACAGTGAAAGCATGGGTTATACCGTGGGGACATACAAAGCAACAAAGAAATAATCTTATAACTATGTTAGAAACAATCGCAAGAAAGAGAAAACATTTGAGTCCTTATCATGGGGTTCATTTCGCCTAACATCAATTTATCTGACCTTTTCTGCTTGTCTCAGACACATACCACTTATTACAAATAAGGGAAACCATGGGACCTATGTTTCTTTGGGCCTGGCTTACTTCAGTTTATATACTTTTTTCCCAAGTCTTTCCATTTCCTAGCAAATGGGGCAATGTCATTCTTTCTGATGGAGGCATAGAATTCCATTGTGTATATATACCACATTTTCTTGATCCATTGATCTACTGAGGGGCATCTGGGGTGGGAAAATGGCATGCCACATGGCCTAGAATAATAGAGAGAAAAGGTTACTTTGTGTCACTGTTGATTTATCATAGAAAAGACAAATAATATAATGCATATTTAATTTTTCCTCTCGATCTATGACTTAAGTGGAAATATCTACTTATGACTTAAGTGGAAATATTAGCATTAAGACAATATAGAATAGTCATATCCTCAGTGCCTAAATGTGTCCATGTTCCAGCTTCTTGACTCATTGTGTGGGTGGGGAAATTTTGATATCTATGCTTCAATTTTCTTAACTGTAAATACAATTTCCCTTATGCAACAGCTGTGAGGTCTGAAGAAAGAACATGCATAATGGTTATCACTGGGCAGTAGTCAGATGGACTATCCCATTCAGCTAATGTATATATTATACATATACATTATACATATACATATACATATGTCATACATATACATTCAGCTAATGTATATGTTAACTTTTTCTTTAAGTTCTGCTCCATGATGTCCACTCACTCATTCTGATGATAAAATAAACGGACATTATAAGAGAGAATGTTGTTGTTTTCTACAAAATCAAATCTAATTATTCACCAGCAGGAAGCCAATTAACTTAAACTTTATTAATTTCTCTGAAATTAAGTAATTAGATTTATTGGGACAGCATGTCTTCCTCATCTGATACACATCAATTGTTGTGAATGTCCTGTTTTTTTTTTTTTAACATAATCCAAAAGCCTCTTGTAAGATGAAAACATGACAGTGACAATTAAAAATCATTTTGGCCCTGATTTCAAAATAGGTCTCCAAGATTTCATTTCCACAATGCCTTATGATCCTTTCTTTCTTGAAAACACAAATAAATATCAGAGAAAGCACTACTGTGTATATGTTACTTAATAATACCACCAATGTTTTCCATTTTAAAATACTATGTGACACTTTGGTGTAGAGATAATGTAATGGGGCCACCAATTTAATTAATGGGAGAACATACAGAATTGTGTAATTGTATATTCAAAGGAGTTTTGTCTTCAACTAAACTAAAAGGACATACAAATTAACACTACAGAAATTACCAGGAAAAGGAACTATTCATTCATCAGACAGAGAACATTTCCTTTGTAATTTTTTCTGAATATTTAGCCAGATATTTCACATCACTTAATAATAATTTACTTATTTATATATTTATAATCATTTTACATTGAAGTATTTTTTCTTATTTTATTCTTTCTCCCTTTCTCTCCCCCAACCCTTACCAAATTATACTGGAATAAAATCAAAACAAAGCAAAAACAAAAACAAAAAAACTTAGTTTTCAGTGATTGCCTGACATTTCCAATTACCAAGCATCCTC